TGTTCAAAACATTTAATTCCTAACTTGTATCATTCAGTTAAAGTTTTGAAAAATGGCTTGCTGCCCTCTTCTTTGTTCTTTTCTTTTCTTTTTTCTTTTCTTTTCTCTTATGCAGCTCTCTGCTTGTTCCTGAAAACATGTGCAGGGTATGTTCTGAAAGATGGCTGGTTCTCCACCTTCTCCTGCACCCCAGAGAGGGAGCCTCCTGGCCCCAAGCAATAGGATGCAGCCATTGGACTTAGTTGTTAAGCAAAGGACCATCTGAGCCAGATGTTGGATTGCCAGTGTGAGCGCCTTGAGAGGTACCTTCTTCTGTCCATGGAGATCATGGATGATGTGACCCTTCATCGAGCAACTGTGAAGACCAGAGCTCCCTGCTGCCCCCCGCTGGATGTGTACAGAGATCAACAATCTACTGTGTTCAGTTCCTGGTATTCTGGGGATGTTTGCTACTACTTTATAACCCAGCATATCACGGGACCCTCTGGGACATTTGAGCAGCCTTCTTGAACTTAAAAATAAGTGATGTGGGTGGGGCACCTGGGTGGCTCAGTCAGTTAAGTGTCTGACTTTGGGTTAGGTCATGATCTCACAGGTTCGTGGGTCTGAGCCCCATGTCAGGCTCTGTGCTAATAGCTCAGAGCCTGGAGCCTGCTTTGGATTCTGTGTCTCCCTCTCTCTCTGCCCCTCCGCTGCCAGCGCTCCATCTCTCAAAAATAAATAAGCATTGAAAAAAAAAATTTTTTTTTTAAGTAAGTGATGTGAAGGCATTCAGGTGGTTCAGCCCATTAAGCGTCAGACTCTTGATCTTGGCTCAGGTCATGATCTCACAGTGGTCCGGCCCTAAGCAGAAAGCTCTCTCTCACCCTTTCCCTCTGCCACTCCCCTCAAAATAAATAAAAATAAACTTTAAAAAATCTCTTTTAAAAAGTGAGCAATGTGTAGGGCAGCGAAGAAGGAAAAAAAAAGAAGCATCTTCTCTATTTAGAATATAATTAAATATAATATTTCCTGGAGGATATAAGGATGGGAACCAAATCTGAGTTACTAAGTTTACTACGTAAACAATAGATTTCAGATGTTTTACAAACCACTGTATCCTTTGTCATTTTGTCCCAGTCTGACCACACCTGAGCTACATTTACGTGACTGCAAGTAAGTCAACCAATTCAAACCTGAAATTAAGGGTGGGCTCATTCTCAGGCTATACAAGCCCCCATTCCCAGTGTTTCATCAAGCAGCTCAGCCATTCAGCTCAAGTGCAAGCGAAAGGTTTTTCCAAGGTGCTCAGGCTTGGGGCAGATGGATAAAAGCCCTTCACGTTGCGTTGCGTGCTCCCCTCCCCCCTCCCCACTCCCTGTTCTTTTTCTTCCCAGACACCCTAACCTCCCAGGTGAGCCTCTGCACCCAACATCCCACCTGCTCCTTCCCCACCCCCACCCCTTGCCTCTTTGCCTTGGTCCCTCTCTCCACAGCAGCGATGCTGAGCCTTTCAGTCACTTCGTCCAGGCTCCCCCGTGCAGGGCAGGGGGTAAAAGCGCCTCTGAATGGGGAGGAGTAGACAGGGTGGATTAATGGCAGAGCAGAAGAGTGATACAGCCCAAGCAGAACAAAACGAGGGCAACCCGGACAAAACAAAGCGTCACAATAGATCATTTCTGAAAAGTCATCCGGGCAGCTTTGAAACCCAGGGCTGTGTGTCGCAGGGCAGTTTCACATCCATGGGCTTTCAAGAGACATGAATGGAAAAGACACAGTAACTCTTTTTCATACCCCTTTTCAGGGGTCTTGTCGGCACAGAAGGATTTACCATTCAATTCCCATACTTTTATGTGGGAAATTAGGAATTTGCCCCTTAAAAAGAAATTGCCTTTTAAACTCTCATAAATTGTGGGGACTTTATAGATTTACCAAAATTTCTTCTTCCTTCCCCTCCTTTCACTGCTATTTCACGCTTAAAAATACTCGTAAACACACACACACACACACACACACACACACATTTCCATCTTCTCCACCTTCCTCTGGGAATGTTTTATACAGAAAATCTCCGACCAGTGAGAGAGTTCATCTTTTCTGCCCCATACACTGTTTGGGTTTTGTCCTTACCTATTTCTTCGTTCAACCACATTTCATCCCAGACCCAATTACTTTTCTGAATATTTTCCTATCCTAGAAAATATTAATCACTATATATTTGGAAGGGTGGCCAGGGTTGGGCCAAGTTGGTGAAAAGGTCAGATGCAAAATAATATAAAATAAGACCTTCACTGGGGCGCATGGGTGGCTCAGTCGGTTAAGCGTCTGACTTCAGCTCAGGTCATGATCTTACGGTTCGTGGGTTCAAGTTCTGCGTCGGGCTCTGTGCTGACAGCTTAGAGCCTGGAGCCTGTCTTCAGATTCTGTGTCTTCCTCTCTCTCTGACCTTCCCCTGTTCATGCTCTCTCTCAAAAATAAATAAAACATTAAAAAAAAAAATACCTTCACTCGTTCACGGACCCAGCAGGCATTTTACTGAGTAGCCACTGGCTGACTCACCCTGAATACAGGCTACTTTTGAATTGTCCAATAAAAACAATCAACTTTAACTAGAGGAGAGCCCAGTAAAAAGTGTCCCCAACAAGAATGGCCCCGCTGGTGTTTCCTGCATCAGCCACCACGTATCTGGCTCCTTCTCAGAAGCCCGTGGTGTTTGGCCACGTTAATCTCATTAACCTTCCCTATCAGTTTCAACGGGACAGAAATGAAGACTTGAGAACGTGGAGTCCCTGGTCTGAGACTCAGGCTGAGACAAGTCAAGCTTTGGCTCTGAGCCAGTACATTTGATCTGACTCCCCAGGCCTCTTCCAAGGGCTTTTTTTTTTTTCTTTTTTTCTTTTTTTTTTTTTTTTTCTTTTTGAGCAGAGGAAGAAAGTGCACGCAAGGAAGGAAATCCAGCCACGTTTGACCCGGCTTCCCTCTTCCCTCCTCCTGCCCCCCCTGGAGAGCCTTGTTCCAAGGCTGATTCCCTGGAGCAGCTGTACTGAGGGCGGCCATTCTCTAGGGGCAGTCAAGCATACCCCAATTCACCAAGAGAATCCTTTGGGGTAAGAGATCGAAAGGGCTGGGGGGAAGGGAAGAGAAAGGAAGGTTTTTCTCCCCAGCAGGTCTGTAAGGCAAGACCGGGACACACTAACCATTTCCTGATGTGCAGAAGCTGAAACTTGGACTTCTTTTCTTGTTAGATTTCTTAGATACGCAGAAAAAAAATCACCAACAAATTAGCATCTCACAATATCCTTAATATCCTTATTAGGGTCTATGTCAGACCCTGATATCACTCGTCTGTCCAAAAAAATAAATAAACAACAGTGTCCTATTTCTGAAGCCAGCTATTAAAAACCTTAAAGATGTGCAATATCTAAGTGTGTCTGATCCAGGCCCTGTATACCTGAACTTACACAGTGTTAGATGTCAGTTGCATCCCAGCAAGGCTGGGGAAACCTAAAACCTTAGAAAGAACACCCCAATAATAACTGCATTGACATCTGCAAGTCTGGGAACTGTATCATTTCCTTCCTGAAAGAACTTGCTTGTGAATAGCTGTTTCAAAAGGAGTCAGGATATTGCCCTTTAAGAGGCAAAATCTCCCTCAGAAAAATTAATACGTGAAGGAAAGGAGGGTTCATAAATATAGCCCTTGCTTGCTTGAGAAAAAACAGGTAGCTTTAATGGTCTGAAGAGTTTTATAAACTAAAGTGTGCCCATTTCCTTCTTCCCCGTCTCTGAGCCAGAGGTTGAAATTCCAAAGGCCAGGGCCCTGAGAAGCTTCTAGAAGCCCCACCATGGCAAGAGCCCCTACAAGTCCCAGAAACGGCAGGCACACTGTTTCAACAACCTCACCCACACCTGTCAACTACAAATGTAGACAAGATGACAGCACCCTAAACTCTAACCCAGCATTTCCCAGCCTGTGTGGAACTGACAGCATCGTGCTTATGAAACCCTCTTCCAACTTAACGCTTGAAATGACTGACTTGTACTTACTTTGTTTTTTAAGTAGGCTCCACACCCAATGTGGGGCTGGAACTCACAACCCTGAGATCAAGAGTCACATGCTCTATTGGCTGAGCCAGGTGGCCCTATATTTATTTTAACTGAATTCAAATACTATATGGTTAGAGAAATTCTTCCGTGATTTTGAAAATATCATAGGAGTATGCGCATTTTTCATCTATGTGGATGTAATTTTTTTTAAGTTTATTTATTTTGAGAGAGAGAGGGAGGAGCAGAGAAAAAGAGAGAATCCCAAGCAGGCTTTACACTGACAGCACAGAGCCCGGTGGGGGGCTCAAACCCATGAACTGAGAGATCATGACCTGAGCCAAAACCAAAATTCAGACACTTAACTAACTCACTGAGCCTCCCAGGTACCCCTGTAATTTTATGACCCATCTCAACCTTCACTGCTAGGACCGCTAGAGGCTATGTCAACTGCAGAAATTCTTACGCTTCCACAGTCCTTTGTCTATCAAGTAGTAAAAGCGATCTTAAACAGTAATGGAGCGCATTATCTCTCCCCTGAAACATACACAGACACTCCTTGCTAAAACCCTTCAAAAGCCACAGGTGTACCGGCCCCCAGCCATCTTGCCAATAGGAATGTGTCTGTCCACTCCTCATTCTTGTCTCCAGCTACTTGTGCTCAATAAGTCCTTCTGATGTGGGGCCTTTGCACATGCTCCTATCCACGTGGAAGGCTGTGCCCCCGCTTTTTGCCCACCTGGCTTCCCATCCTCCTTTAGGGCTCAAATGATGCACCACTTCTCCCTGGAGCCTTCCTCCGACCATGCCCTCTAGAGTGGTTTTCTCTCATTCCTGTGTCTATATCCCAGCCCCAAGTTTACGTCCTTCACAACGCATGTTCCAGTCGGTAGGTATTCTAATTTTCTGTCTACTTGCTGTGTCTCTCTTCCCTGCTAGAATGGAAGTTTCAGCAAGACAGGAGCATGACTCTTCTGTTAACTATGGCACTGCTGGTACAGAGCTAGTGTATTTTCAGGAATATTTTTAGAATGAAGGAAAAAATGAGGGAAGACAAGATATTGACTTGAAATCATTTCTCTGCTTCCCAGCCCAGAAAAGTTCTGTATATTCACAGAGGGGAAAAAAAAACCCTCAGCTCTTCCATTAAACAGACATCAAAATACAGTAGTTCCTAGAATTGAATTGCATTCTCTTTCACACTCTGGAGTTGGACACGGCAGGCTGGTAGAATGTTGTGTTTCCCACAGTAATGACGAGATCCAGATTCTCCTTCTCATTGCCTCCTATGGTACGGGGCATGTTGCATCTGTGTGGTTTAATGGGGTGGCCAGCACATCCAGGTTCCAGCCCATGGGAAGGGAGGAAGAAAGGAAGCCTAGAAAGAATGAGTTCCAATTAGGAGCTGAAGCAGAGGTTGCACAACACTTCTGTTCACATTTCATAGGCAATAACTTCGTACTACGTCCAGAAAGGGAGGGTGGGAAGTAGAGTCCCTCCAGCTGAATGACTTCACGCTGGGAGAAAAGAAAGACAGGTTTAGGGAAAATTTGCCATCTGCCACATGTTCTTCAACTCCTTTTGAGTAGAAAACGTTCTGGTGCCTACCCCAAGGTAGCAGAACCCATGTACAGACTGTCTTTGATTAGAGGAAGAAGACCTCCACCCTACCCCCAGATGCCCCACCGTCACATCGGAGCTGGGGGCTGGAGGTGTCGCACGATGGCCATAGTGGCAATTACTGCAGCTACCTTGAACGCCGAGACTCCAACATGCTCAATCCTCCCCCTTCCTCTTTGGCTCCAAAGCTCAGCAAACATCCAGATGTGTTTTGTTTTCATCCCCAAATGTTCCCATCCATGTCTTCATTCACTGTGCAAGAACGTGCAAAACACAACTGTCCAGAGTGTCTACTGCTTTAATCTGAGGCCAGGGAAACAAAGCAGCAGACCTTTTTGGTGTAGCCGAGACAAGCCTACACTACCAGCTTCCCTCAAGGTGATCTTGAGTAAATTATTTAATATCTTTAAGACTCGTTCTGCCCATTCCCAAAATGGGGGCTAAGATACCTTGCCATGTGGTTATTATCAGAATTAGCTCGTGAATGTAATGATCGTAGGTCTTTTTAAGAAATACCTGGCAAGTGGATATTCAATGTAGTTTTCTTTCAATCAGCGGCTTTCTCTTGCTAAATCCCAGCCTGATAAACCATCTCTTTTCCTCAACCTATACATATCCCTCCAGCCTATACTCTGTGGCCTACAGCCTTGTGGAAACACCCCAGTACACTTTTGTCTCTCTCTCTCTCCTCTCACTTCCTGTCCCATACTTGTTCCCATTTTTTATTTCATGCCTCGCACTCTTCAATGGCTGTTTTGTAAGAATTGTCCAGTCTCGCTGGCTGGATTACAAGTTCCCCAAAAGTAGCAGATATCACGTTAAGTTCCAGCTCGCCATGTCCAATGCCATGGGACTGCATAACATCTACTCAACAGACGTAACATCCACTCAACAGACACTCCACTGAGTTGTCGAAAGACACCAGCGGACTGAAGTTAGATAGACATAACCTTAGAAAAATAAATTAATTCAGCCATATTAGTCCCAAATGTTGGTTGATTCGGGATCTCTTTTTCAAATAGTAAAACATTCTGCTTATGTGAACTGAATGACTGACTCAACTATCCCTCTTTGGAAGAAGCTGAAAATGCTGCCTAAAATTATACTGCTCGCTGGAACTTCTGGTAACTCAGGATGCTGCCTTCTGGGTGGTGTTTATTCTATGCCACAAACACCTGAATTACTGAAATTGAAATCCATCCAGTTTCTGTGTTTGGGGTTCCAGCATTTTGTGGACTGGCAAATGTGCCTGACAAAAATCTGGGGAATGCTTGGCCTTTCATCCCTCTGAGAATTATGCCATTTTCCAAGAAAAGCTAAATAGCTCATTCATGTTTCACCCTCTGTTCTTCCAGGCTGGTTTCCTGAGGATATTTTTTAGCCAGACTGCTGTGTGTGTGTGTGTGTGTGTGTGTGTGTGTGTGTGTGTGTGTGTTAAATAGGCTGTTGGAAACTGGGAGTTTTAAACTAAAACTTATATCGAAAGATTCTTGAGTGCATTATCAAATGAAGAATATCATCCTCATTTCATCTATTTCAAACTAAGAAAACAAATGGAACATATAAATCGCATTCAAATCAGTGGCTTTTGCTAACAAATTCCCCCAGAGTATAACTTTAGATCCACATAAAATCTCTCAGTCCTTTCAGAGAAAGCTAACTAATAAGTACCATCAGGTAACAGAGCTGCCATGCTCTTTTTTTCCTTCCACCTCATTTTTATCAAGAGAAATGGGGTACTTCACAGTTCGAGGGCTTTCCGCACAGGAAGCCCTAGTGTGGCCTTAACACAAGCTGACACTTCTAGAAGGGTGAGGTCACGGAGGAGCACAGCTCCTTGACTGGACAGCATCCTTTAGGGGTTCCCAAAGGAAGGTGATAAGTGTATAAACCACCCACAAACATGGGGCGTGCTCAAAGCCATCTGAAACCTTGGGTCCTGTTTGGAAGATGAGAGGATGCATGGACTGCCGAGCACGGAGCCTGGATTCACTCCCCAAACCTAAGCAATAAGCTCAAATGCAGACAAGGAAAATACTTAGTTTGGCTTAAGTGGGCAGTTCAGGCCAGTGTGAACCCGGCAGGCAAAAGGGTCCAAGAATCTATAAAAGTTCTTTAGAAAACAAGAAGGCATTGGGAACGGAGATGGGCTGGCAATGGTAAATGTGTTCCCCTCAAAGCTAAAGTCAAAACCTCTTGAATATATCCAAGATGTTTGTGGTACCCACCTGTGCTAGTATGATGAATTTTTCTGACTTCTGTATTTTATGTTCTCTATGGTCAGCATGAACTTTTTTCATAATTAGGAAATTTAATTAAATTACAACTTGTAAATATCTATCTATCTATCTATCTATCTATCTCTCCTTTTCCTCAAAATGATGAAACCAGCAAGGCCTTCTTTTTTTTTTTTTTTTTTAAATGTTTTATTTATTTCTAGGAGAGAGAGAGAGACAGCGCGAGCAGGGGAGGGTCAAAGAGAGAGGGAGTCACAGACTGAAACAGGCTCCAGGCTCTGAGCTGGCAGTCAGCACAGAGCCCGACGCGGGGCTCGAACCCAAGAACCGAGAGATCATGACCTAAGCGAAAGTCGGACACTTAACCGACTAAGCCACCCAGGCGCCCCGAAACCAGCAAGGCCTTCTAAGAGGACTATTGAACTTTATCACAGAGGATTAAAGCCCACATGGGAGGATAGAAATGTGCAAGTTACTCCCATGGGCACAGAGCAGAGGGTAGGGCTATGGGGACAGGAGGCAGGGCTGGGAAGGGTCCCAAATACCACATCTCAGGGACCTTTTGTTTCTGTTAGTGGGGGCTTGCTGAACCGAACGAGCCAGTCTGTCTGGCCCTATCACATGCGCGAGGTGCGGAGGGCTGGCCACGCACTGCAGGCCATGATCACTGTCTTCAGAGAGCATGTAGAAGAGGCGCCCTTGCTTTGTAACGTAGAATGATGACAAGTCACGTGGCTTCCATCATTGAGAAACTGAGTCCTAGGGGAGCAACGCAGCCTGGTGTCTGATGACATTTAGTCCAAGAGTATGCACAGGACAACAAGCAATGTAGCAGATGAACAGGGGGCCCTGGAAGAAATGGCGCTGGTCCATGGCACTGCCTTCTAACCTACTGTGCCAGTCAGGGTCCCAGTGAGAAACAGAGGGCTCATTCAAATGGGTGACTCCGGAGAGGCCGATGAAGGGTCTGTTTACAGACATGTCACAAGGGTTAGGAAAACCAAAACTGTGGTGACCAGATGTCACCCCTAGGCTTGAAGCAGCACAAGGGAGGGGATGACTCCTGCCACACAGAAAAGCAATTGTGTCACCCTATGGTCAGCAGAAGGGACTAACGGGTCATCAGGACCCTGACCTCACTCTCCTGTGCCTCAGTTTCCAGCTCCTGACCCAGCCAGGACCTGATGGCAAAGAAGCCATTGATGCCACCATTAGAGACCTACCTTCTTCCCAAGATTCTCCACTGAGCAGGGTGGAAAAGGGGGTAGAGGGGGTCTGGAGGGACAAATGGAAAATGCCCAGCCCACACACTGTGTACTTTACTTTCAAACATTCATTTCCTAGTCTCGACCTTTCCCCACTAGAACATAAGCTCCCAGAGGACAGGGCTTTGACCAGTCTGTTCTCCACTGCATTCCAAGTACCTGCACCCAATAGGCATGCAGAGAATGTCTGTTGAATGTCTGAACCGAAGCAAAGAAGACAAGCAGCATTTTACATAAGGTAAAAATAGTTTTTAACGGGGTGTTTCCCTAAGGTAAACTGGCTCTTATTTTGACCATTCCGCCCAAAGCAAAATGTAGCCAACATACATGAGAAGGAAAATACGGTGGGGTCTAAGACTTGCTGAAAAGATTCTATTTATACTTTGCTTGGAGTGAAGAAAAGTTTTGGGAAGTGGACCGAAGAATTTTAAATCTCCTTAAAGAAACACAAGAAATACATCTTTCCCCTAACTCTCAGACCTGTGGTCTAGGGAAGAGAGGATGGTTGCCAGGATTCTTAAAGAAACTCAGTGTGAAATAGTGAAAAGATGTCAGGCTGTGGGTTTCCCTGCCACGGGAGGTTTGGGAGACCAACATTGTCTGGATTTGATGACAGGTAATGACATTAACTAATTACAAAACTAATCACATTTGGAGCGGTGGAAGCTGAGATCATGATAAGCATAATCAAATCCCTGACTTGAGGGCCTCAGGATCGGAGGATAAGCTTTCCCCCCTCACAAAGCTTGACCAGATGCCTTTCAGAGTTCTTTGTCTGAATGTTTTGGAAGATACCAGTGAGAGTCAGAACAGCATTGTGAATTGCAAAGCCCGGTGGCAGGTCTGGCACTAAGAGAGGGTGCTATAGGGACACCGCGTGGGTCCCTACTGGCTGAAGATGAGCCTTGTCTACCCCATCTTTAGGAGCTCCATCAAGGGAAATGTCAGGGCCTTGACCCTCTATCCATTCGCCCTAAATGTGAAAGGCCTGTGTCCCCCTCACGGTTTGGGTCATCTTGCACAAACTCCAACCCATTGGGGCCTCAGTGCCTTCTTCCGCAAAGTAGAGATTAAAATACCAGTTGCATTCGCCTCCCCAAATTGGCATCAGAATCCAGCGAAGAGTTTACTTTGCAGATTATCAGCTGCTTTAAATATAACAAGTATTACTAGCGTCGGCCAAATCCCAGGCCTGAATCACTATGATATGAACACCTCACTCATCAGAAAGGTGGAGAATCTTTAAAATAAAGAAG